GAACATTAAATTGCATTATTCTCAAATAATGTCTATTCAAGAAATAGAAAAGATTTCCTATGAAATACCTTCTATGTTATTTAGCGTAAAATTAGTTGTTGTAAAAGATAATTAAAATCACTTATCTCTTGATATTACTTTGGAGAGAAAATTGAGCGGCGTCATGACAAAACCAACATAGTGGGTTTGCAACCAGCATGGATCCAGACCAGCCTGTGCATCAGCACAGTCTGGTCAGGATCCATGCTGTTCGCTATCAGTTTCTCTACTTGTATAGGGTTTGTAAGCGAACAGCATGGATCCTGATCAGACAGCGCTGATGCTCAGGCTGGTCTGGATCCATGCTGGTTGCAAACCTTCTATGTTGGTTTTGTCGTGACGTGGCTCAATTTAAATTCTCTTACTGAGATTCATGTCATTTGCTTTTAGTGAGAATAATTAATAGGAGACTTCATTTTGTGGGTTTTTTCATTAGACATTGAAAGATATCAGTGAGATATAAATAATCTCACACAGTTTCAAGTGAGATATATGAAATTTGAACAAAAATCATCAGATACTTGATTTTTATTTCATGATATATCACTGAAGTTTTATTTTGAGCTTAAACTAAACCAGATTTCAAATGTTTTTTTCAAAAGTTCCATCCCCAGTTTTTGTGAAAAGCTGGTAAGTGAAAATTCAAGTTTGCATTTTAGTAGTGTTGATGTTGTTAGTTTTCAATCGGGATCATGGCAGTAAGCCACATTGAATTAACCAGAGCACAGTTCAGCTTAAAGGAACTCCACTGAGATTTTTTTTGACATGACGGGACTGGAAATATTTGTTCAAAAATAATGTTCCATTTCATGCAAGTCTAGACCAATAACATGTCTGCCAAATTTCAGATCATTTGCTCACTTCTTTTTTTTCCAGAATATTTATTAAAATTGTGAGAAATGACCTAAAATTGAAAAGCATTGCAACACTTTTCACTAAAATCAGGCTAAGAATAGCACAAAAATTTGATTTCATTTTATTTCTAAGTATGTTTCTTAATAACCTTTTGATAATCTTTCTGTTTCAAGTGCCCCAGCTGATCTATTAAAGAAATTCAAACTTTATGTTTTTAGGCTTTTAGAATTCAGTGGAGTTCCTTTCATCAATGGGATGATCTCTTTTAGTAGCTTACAGTAGCTTGACTGTTTAGCTCTCAAGTTTACAAATATCAATTGCTGCTCCCTGAAATTTAGATTTAGGGGAGTATCAAGTATTAAGGGAGTGACAATAAGGAGGTGGGTGTGATATTGAGGAGAAATATAATAAATTTGCATAAACAAAATTAATAAATACATAAATATGTGGTTCCTATCTTTTTGATTGAGATGCCACCTTTGAAAGTATATTGTTCCACTTAGGGTTATAGAGAACTCTTTTAAGTACTTTAATGCTTTTTAAGCTATATAGTCCCTCATTATTTGCTAGTATATCTAAGATATTGGAATTCATCAATGAGATATATTCTGATATAACCCACTGCATGATTACAACATTACGGTGGAATCTTATATAAAAAATAAATCAATATCAAATGAAACTTAATTTTTCATAAAAAAATTTCAAAAATTAATTGTAAAAAAAAAAAGATAATTTTATGAATATTTTATGTTGTTTATGTTGTACTAGACTGTGATAATGTTATAGAAGTTAAACTCAAAGCTAATAAATTGAATGTAACATGTGCAATACTTTTTTTAAAGTGAACAAACATTTCATTACAAATAGTAATACTGTAAGTCATTAATAAATTGTGACAGTTGCCAATTTTTCTGTCTTTGCCTGGAGCCAAACCAACTTTATATTGTGGTGTTGTCTGTGCAGTCTGATTTGCAGCAATTGTTTACTAGTATTTTTACTGAGAATAAAGCAAATCCAGACATACATTGACCATTATACAATCGTCTAGCTGCTAAATTTAAGCATCCTTACCCCAACCACACCAACTTTTTGAAATGGGCTTGTCCATCTTTCAAACTGGACAAAACCATTCATCATTTTGAGGGAAAATTATCAAAAATAGGTAATGAAAAGTGAACATCCTAGACCATGATCAGACGTCACACTGATGTGCTGGCTAATCTTGGTCTGTTCTGGTTGCATGAGTAAAATCACAACCAGCAGACAAAGGGTGGAAAAAGATATTCCCTTAAATTCATAATGGACTATTCTAAATTTACAGCAAGGCATATTTAAGTCCATCATACAAAGTATGGAGGATAATGGACTATTCTAAATTTACAGCAAGGCATATTTAAGTCCATCATACAAAGTATGGAGGATAATGGACTATTCTAAATTTACAGCAAGGCATTAGTCCATCATACAAAGTATGGAGGATATTGGACTATTCTAAATTTACAGCAAGGCATTAGTCCATTATACAAAGTGTGGAGGAAAGAGGCTTAATTAAATGTTCACTTTGGACTCATCATGTCTGTTACCATTTGATACATGATTTTTCATGATCATCCCATACAGGAATTAACTCATTTAGATTCATGGTCACAGATTTCCCGCTATTTATTATTTCCTCCTCATTCATCATCCTTGAGTATTGTATTCATTGCAATGCGAAATGAATATACATTTACAAACTCTGAAAGCAACAACCTCCGGAATGCTCCGCATCACAAAGTAGTTCCTTAGTCCTGCTTTTATACTTTCTAGGGACCAGACTGAAGTTTTCTTTGACATGACAGGATACAATTGCATGTAATTGTCCATTTTAAATATCCCATTAACTGTTGATGTATGAAAGAATTTTTAAGGACCTCAGTGCAGCAAGATACAATGTTGCGAAACCTTCAAGTTGGTTTTCAAAGTAATATTCTAACGCTTTGATAATTTTAAAGTTTTAATCGCCCCCTGCTCCCTTTTTGGGGGACGGTGTGGGGGATTGAGATAAACCACAGATTTCTAAGAGAAAATATTTCTAAGAATTAGAAATAATTTGTGGGATTTAAGTGGAATGGTTTAAAAGAGCTAGCCAATTTGTCTGCTTGTTTTTGGGGTCAGAACTGCTTTAAAAAAATGCAAAATAATATTGGAGTTAGAAATTTATCAGAATTGGAATAAATATTGGCCATCTGAGAAACTATGGATTTTCCGGAAAAAAAATTCTTATTTTATGAATATTGCTTAATATGCTAGTTTGATATATTCATGTTACAGACTGAGAAAAATTATCAGAACAAAATATTTGAAAGAGTATTCAAATATTTTTGTAGTAATGAAATGTATGCAGAATGTTTTAAAATCTCTGAGCAGCTGTTTTTCCCAATTCTTGATTTGTGATAATTACTAATCTTATCTCGATTTGCAAAATTTACTTATAACCTTGATTTGTGATATTTAATAATAACCTCGATTTGTAATATTTACTTATAACCACGATTTGTGATATTTACTTATAACTTTACATATAACCTCTATTTGTGATATTTACTTATAACCTCTATTTGTGGTATTTACTTATAACTTCTATTTGTGATATTAGTATTTATAACCTCAATTTGTGATATTTATTAATTCTTATCTTGATTACTTTCCTATCCGTCGATTGGCATTTATTTTATTTGATTAGGATACACAAAAATAATTCTAATATTTGTAAGATCTGTATTTTTTTGTGTTACATTTGTGTATGAAGATTTGATATATATTATTAATAATTTTTGTTTAATTATTGATAAACAATTTTAAATACAAAATCAATAACATTTATTGCCCACATTCATGGTGTTTTTGTCTTGTTTTATTACTGCTGACTTGAATAATATTTTGTTTCTGAAACAAAACAGTGAAAAAAAAATGTGATCCTGTATTTGAAAATGACAGGAATTTCATTTGTTTCTGTCAAGTTTGAAGTATAATCTTAAAATCCTGTCTCTTCAGAGAAAAATTCAGACATCACCCTAGCACCCTTGAGGCCTTCTTTACAACTTTCAAGTTTATTGAAATATAATGAAATGATTGTAATCTGCTGGATGCCACAATGTAACTGTGTTACTTAAAGATTTTAAAGAGACTCCACTGAGGTTTTTTTTTTAATGGCAGGATTAGAAATATTTTTCCGAGACTTTTTATACCATTTGATTTAAATCTTTATCAACAAATTGTGTGCAAAATTGCAAAATTTCAGTTGATTGGCTCGCTTTATTTTTTCCCAAAATCATTTTAAATCATTTTTTGTGTGCAAAATGACATAAAATGGAAAACGTTTAAAATGTGGCTAAGAATCATGCTCAAAATCAATTTTCAAGTTAATGTATATTTATTTCTTGTTTTATTTTTCATATTTTTTTCTGTTTTAACTGCCCCTGTTTATCTATAAAAGATTTTCAAATATTCATGTAATTAGGCTGTTGTACCACAGTGGAGCTTTAAGGAATTGCAGAAAAACTTGCTTTTATGCTTTGTAATTTCCTCTAATAATGTTGAATAATTTGATGCTATCTCAGAAATGAAAATGAGATTATCTTTCTACAGAAAGATCATCTTTTAGGAAAAGATTCTTATTTCTGATATAAGTATGTAATTAAAAGTTCAAAGGATATAGCGTTAAATTAGTATTCTTAATGTTTTGGCTTTTGAGCGATCTGAGATGAGGCAAATTTTTTATGTATCCTAAAATTTCCTTTATAAGAGGTGAAATATGTTAACTTGCAGTTAGAAAAAGTGAGTATAAAGTTCACAATTTGAACTCTCAGTCCAGACTGTATGTGGTTGTAGTATGAGTCTGACAAAACGTATCAATAAAAATACGCTGTTGAAAAATAATTTATTGTTTTTTCATTAACTTTTTTTTTAAGTTGACAGGGTTTTATTTTTGTTTGTTTTGTTTTATAACAAAATACTGAAATATCTTATTTCGGAAAAGTAATGCAATTGTCTTTTATAATAGAGGGTATAGTATCATGGATGATCGTTAATCATATTATGATGAATGTATTTTAACTCACCTTTAAAACTATTTCCAAAATAGTCCGGTAATTATTCGTGAAGAAATCAGTCACAGAAATCAGTCTTCAATTTTCTCCAAAGAACTCTGGAAAATTTTAACGTAATTTATGTCGTTAAAACAACATTTTCAGTAACTCCATCAGATGTGAAAATACACAACAACTTTTCAATTAAATTCACATTGCTTTGAATCTGTAAAACGTCTTTGAAATTGCTAATGACAATTATTTCCTGTTTTGTTCTTTCATGCGGACAGGTAAAAAACAACAACTTTCAATCTAGTCTTTTCCGATGTTTTCTTTTCACTTACTTTGTTTGAACTGTTTAATCATGCTCTTTAATTGGCATTTTCAAAAGTTTAATTGTTTTCAAATTTCTCAGGAAATTGATAATAAACAAAGTTGCAAGAATAAAACAAAAATATTGGTATACACTGCTTAAGATGTTGTTTTTTTAATCCAATGGCTGTTTATTTAAAAATAGAAAAATGAACAATATTAAAATTGTTGTTTTTTTTTTAATATAAATTGAAGAAAGAAAAAATACTTTTCTCAAATTTACTGTTTCAACATATTTCCATCACAGTAACTAAGTATGAAATGTAATAGATTTTCCTATTTCCCATGTTAAATGTTTTTCGGTAATGAAATCATGTCCAGTTAAAGCCGCCTATTCCCGATGGGTAACGCTCGGACAATAGCTAACATAGAATACACTGATCTATGAGCAAATAAGGAAGCGACGAAATAATTACAATCAGGTGACAAGAGATTTTCTAATACCCTATAGATACACGATCAGTCTGTCGGAATAAATTCCCCGTTAGTTATTTCAACCACTACAGTCAGCTGTGAGCAGTTCTCCAATACTAAACTCGCATTACGCAATATTGTTGTATAGCTCTGTGGAATAACATTCAGCTAGTTATTACAAAGTTTTGTAGGCTACTCATACTTCATACAGCCCAACAAGATGTTTAATATCTGAAATGTGCAGATGTTTTATTTATTATATATTTCTTATGTATCTTTTTGTACATGTTTTTTTTTGTGTTGTTTTTTGTTTTGTATTTTTGTTGTTTTGTTTTTTGCTGCTTTATTTATGATATCTGTATATTTTTGATGTATCTTTTTATATTTTCTTTTGTGTTTTTTTTTTTCTCTGTTTCCATTTTCTTTATTCATTTTAATACATTACTTGTACATCATGTATATGTTTTGTTTGTATAATTATGTATTGGATTTTATCATTTTCTTTCTTTTCATTTTCTTTCTTTGTTAAATTTCTCTGTTATTTGCATATTTTTCTTTCTTTTTAAACAGTTTTGTACTCCTAATTTAAATGTATTGATTTTTGGTAATTAATGATACACACTCAAGATTTTTTCTAATCCAGCCCCTATAAACAAAACCCCTCAATTCCCTAAACCCCCTTCCACCCCCACAATACGAGTAGCAATTAAAAGATGGCATAAATTAATCTACAAACAGTGTTCTACTTAATATAAATCATTAATATTTAACTGTATAAGTTATACCAGTGGAGTGGCAGCTGTGGGGATGGGGATGGCAGTGAATATTTAATTGATTAAGAAACAAATTAATATTAATTATATATTTCATCAATCATTAATGTTAGATACTTTTAATCACAGCAATTTTGTAGTTGAATTTTAATTAAATTTTTAAAGTTAATGATAGAGCTATGAGAATTTGTGTAACATCATCTCTTCAAATGTAGGTTGTTTTTTACAACATGCAGTGTGGTTATTTAAATATACTTATGCTTATACTGTGATAATTAGCATTTCATAAAGAGGAATCAATTTATTACTTTGGATGAGATTTTAATCAGCGGGAATCATTTGATTTTTTGGTGATTTTATTAAATGCTTATTATACATATTATGGAATAAGTAGGTTTTTTGTATGCCCTGGTTTTTTTTTTTTGTCCATCCCAATATTTTATCTCCTATTTTATCACTTTTTGCATTATTTTCCTTTGCGTGAAGACTTAGGATATATCCTGTATATTAGATGGAAAATCCCATATGATTTTATTGTGGTGAAGACATATGTTCATACTTTTTGTCCTTTGATGTAGGGAATTATAAAAAATAGAATAAGACTCTTCATTCAAGGACGGGATCATTTGATTAGATTATAACGAAGCCTGGAAAACAATATTGAATTTTTGGTTAACATTAGACTTTTTTTCTTGAATTAACACACTTATAAATTGTAAGCTTTGTATCTTAGAAGGAGGGTATACTGAAATCAGGTTGTCAATTCTATCGTCTGTCGGTTTTTTCTTGTCCAAGTGCCCAATAACTTCATATCTTCATATTTGGTATTGAGATTGGTCATGATTAGTAAATGACCCCTATTTATTTTGAGGTCACAGGTCAAGGTCACATTGGCCTTGACTTAAAAGGCTTGTCCATCCAATAGCTTAAGATTCCTTTTACCAACAATCTTCATATTTGGCATAGACATTGATCATGACTCCTATTGCTTTTGAGGTCACTGGGTCAAAGTTTAAGGTCACAGGGGTGTTGATTTAGAATGCTTTGGTCAAAAGTCTTCATATTTGGTATTGAGTTTTGTTATGACTAGTACATGACCCATATTGATTTCGAGGTCAGAAGGACCATCACTAAAATGAGCTTGTCCACCCAATAATTTAAGATTCTTTGAACCACAGTCTTCATATCATGACCATTAGATGACCCTTATTGCTTTTTCAAAGGTCAAAGTGGCCTCGAGTTTAAAAGGCTTGTCCGCCAAAAAAACTCAGATTCATTTGACCCACCGCCTTCATATTTGGCATGGAGGTTGGTCATGACCATCTAGTGTCCCCTTATGATTTTGAGGTCACTGGGTCAAAGGTCAAGGTCACAGGGGCCTTAATTTCAAAAGGCTTGTCAGCTCATTTGCTTAAGAATACTATATTCTTCATATTTAGTATTGATGTTGGTTATGACTAGTAGATGACCACTATTGATTTTGAGGTCACTGGGATATTGGTCAGGTCATAGGGGCTTTGACTTTATAAAGTGTGTTTGCCAAATAACTTAAGAATACTTTACTCACAGATTTCATTTTTGTCATGGAGGTTGATCATGACTAGTAGGTGACCCCTTTTGATTTTTAAGTTTTGAGGTCAGTACATCAAAGGTAAAGGTCACTTCGATCTTTGCCACTAAAACATGTAAAATGCATAACTTAGCAATGCACTAGATTGTTCTTGAGCTCTAAATGACCACTGTTGAATCTGACAAAATGGTAGGGGGGTATTCAGGCCATGACAGTGGCAGCTCTAGTTTTCGCTGAATGCTTATAAATGTTTTACATTAAAACTTTAAATAACTCTCAAATCACTCTTTAAATAACTCTCAAATCACTCTAACTTGTTTCATTTATAGGCAAGAGTGCATTTTGATTGTCATCATAAGATTTTAAAATGATAAAGTCCCTTTCTATACAGAGTTTTAGCTTGACTTTTTAAAGCAAAACAAAACTAGAGGTACGTGTATTGTTACAGTCACATTGGCATTGCCGTTGCCGTCCGCAAACTTGTACCTTGATCATAACTTTGTAAGTTCTTGGTGTATTGTCTTTATACTTGGCTAAATAAGACCTTTTCATAGACCAGACTAACCTTGACCTTCGTTCACAAATGACCTTGAAAAATTTATGGTTAAGTGTCTATATTTCGCTTGTTTTTTGCTCTTTTTTGCTATTAGTGGCTATAACTTTGTTATTTTTGAATGGATTGTCTTCAAACTTGAACATAATAATCTTAACTAGGGAGACTTTGACCTTCATAAGAGGTTTCTCTAGGTACATGTTTTTTTTATTCCACCTCATATTTTGTCTTTAAATTCTTAATTTTTTTTTTGCTACCAAACATAAAATTTATGTTTATTGCTTTAACTGTATATTATTTTTAATAAAAATGCTATTTTTATATTTTATAATATTTTTGCTGTATAATTAGGAATCAGGTGTGCAGTTTTTTAATTTTAAATTTGTGATTTATGTAAGATGGTTATGTGGCTGTGTTATAAACATTTGCCATACAACATCTCCTAACAGCTTAGGTTAATGAAAAATAGTGGTCAAGATGTCTGCATCAATCCAGGGAACATTTGAGCCGCGTCACGACAAAACCAACATAATGGGTTTGCGGCCAGCATGCATCCAGACCAGCCTGCGCATCCGCCCAGTCTCTCTTGAGAAGAAAATCACAACTTTAAGATTATTGAAGCAATGTTAGTTCTGAAAGAAAAAATCCCTATTCTTTTACCAATTATGTCACTCAGAATTCAAAGAAATAACATTAAAATGATAAATTGAAAATAAAAAAATCTTCTGCAATCAGCACTCAGAAAAACTTCTTTGCACAATAATAATTCACTATTAAAAAGAAATGTTGAACAAACTGTTCTCATGAAATAAGAGAATTATTTACACATGCAATCATTACATTTATGACAAGCTAGTAATGATTACTGGCTTCAAATCATTTGCGCAACACCACCTATTTCATTAGGCTCCCACTTGTCATAAAACAGTGAGTTTTTAAAATCAGGAAGCTCACTTTCAACAGGTAGTTGGTCATATTCAACATGAGACTTGGAAAACTTCTTTATATTGACAAAATGTAGTTGTTAGACAAGTGAAATAATTTGGAAAGCTATATTTTTGGAGTTATGCCCCTTTTAACTTGGAATTTTTGAAACAGATTAGTATTAACAAAGAGATGCTTTATTTGTAGATTTTTAAACTGGTTGATAACTCTTAGATTCGTAGATTGTCACATTTGGCAAAAAGTAAAATGCAATTAATGGAGGGGATAATAGTTATGCAAAATAATCTTACAGCACAAGAGATCTCAAATTCATAGATTTACCTATGTACAAAAATCTGGAAAATTAGTTCCCCACAAATATTAAAGATTTTACAGTATAAAGCTTACAGCAGCATAATTATAACAATAACTTCATATTTTCTGATCACAGATCAGGAAATACAATGCTGACATTCAATATACCTATGCAGAAAACCTTTGAAAATTAGTTCTCAACAAATGTTAATGATTTTACAGTATATAGCTAGTAGCAGCATAATTATAACAACTACATTTAAGTTTTTTTTATAAAAGCCTACCGAAAGTTTCCTTTTTTGTAGGTGTTCATTAGCAATGAAATCTGGCAGTTAGCTGGTGGTCTATCTAGCTTTAATTAATTTCAGCTGACCACCTTATTAATCACTGGCCTGTCTCGTAGAAACGTTATTAGCAATAGTTGTCAGTCTTGTGTGAAATAGTTTTCCTAATTTGAACATTTCTCTTTGTCAACTTTTCTCTTTTTTTTTTGCCACAGTATTTTTTTTGCTACAGTATTCTCATGTAATATGTGAACTAAATTGGAGAGGATCGAAAG